TATCATTGGGATTGCCACAAAAATTGAGTCCATATTCAGATTCAGTTTTTATTTTTTTATTTTTATCAGATTGCTTGAGCCCTCTACATTGCCACAAAAATATATTTATATATATTTAAATATATTTATATTCGGAAGAGGGGGCCGAATTTCATACTTACAAATTTGGGCAGTTAGAGAGGTGAAGTCCAAAGCCGATACTGGAAACTCAAGCTGAAATCAGAGAGGCTTTACAGACTGTAATCAACAAGACTGGGCTAGGCTTGGTAGGACCACACACGTTGCGTTGAGTGGGCGAACGTGCGTGGTCGGCGTCGGACAAGTTGAAGCCGGAAGCAACGCTGGTACTACAGAAGGGTCAGCAACCACACACGTCGCGTTGAGAGGGCGAACGTGTGTGGTGTGCGTTGGAACCGTTGAAGCCAACAGTGATTGGTGATGGAGTAGCAGCAGATTGAAACCGACAATGTACACACGGCTTCAATAGCAGATTGAATTTGGCCTTGCAATAGCAATCAATGTACACACGGCTTCAGTCTCTAACCTGTTAAAAGAAGAATGTGTGTCATTGGAATCATAAGACTACCATAAATTATATGTATATACAAGAGTTCAAACAGTAACTATTCCAACATTCACAAGGATGGCGATGGATAAACTCACCAGAAACAACCAACGAGTGATCAATATTTTTCAATAGCTCTATTTGTATCAAAATCATCAAAGCACGGGCTCAAGTTTTAAATATTAGCAGGAGTGCAATGTCATGAAATTCAACGGAGTATTACCTATCTCAGGTGAAAAATTGCAAATTCTCGGAGTATTAAATCAAGTTGTACAAGGGCCAAAACTTACCTAGATTTTTTTGAAACCCGAAATCAAGAGAAGAAAGTTTTTTTTTTTTTTTTAAAAAAAAAAATGAAATTAGTTAAGAGGAAGACCAAGGCCCACCAAAAATGAAGCTCCAGAATATGAATTTCAGGATTATATTTCATATGCAAGTCAAGATTCAATGGAAGCTTCAGTTATCTCAAATTCAAAATTGATATAAAACAATGCCCACAAATCTCAAAGGCCCAAATCAAATGAAATTCAGATTTCATCAAAGCAAGAGGATCGAGAGTGGGTTTCGATAAAATACTTACAGATCTGAAGGCCACGCCCATGAGAGAGAGTGGCCAAGAACAATACAAACCGAGATCGTAATGAAGTGGCGCCGGAGTGAGCAAACATTGAAGTTGGCGAGCTGAACGGGCGATGGCTAGGATCGCGGTGTTGGCGTATTCGGAGCAAATATAATCAGTGAACAACAGCGCAGCAAAGAACAGTAGCGCAGGTTGAGGCGGCTGCTGCGGCACCTAAGGCTGCTGTAACAAGTAACACACAAACAGTGGTGGTCTTCGGCAGAGCAAGACTGAGCTCTGTTCGGAGTTCTGAAGTGGCGTTGCTGGGCCGAAATGAAGCACCGACAGTGAGCAGCGGCTTGGGTCACAGGTGCGAGCCGAACCGTAGCGCAGTGAGGTCACAGGTGCGAGCCGAACCGTAGCGCAGCAGCGGCTGGAGCAGGACAGCAACGCAGTGTACTGACTGCCGTGAGTGAGTGTGCGCTGCCGAGTTGTTGTGTTGGCGACAAGCTGAACGGTGGCCACACACGTCGCGTTGAGTAGGGCAACGTGCGTAATCGGAGCTGGACAGAAGAGGTTGGAAGCAGCAGTGGTCTGCAAGAAGTGGTGAAATCGCAGTACAGAAAGTGTGCCGAAATGGGCTCTGGTATTGAAGGAACAAGTTTTTTTTTTTTCTTAAAGAAGAAGAAAGGGAAAAAGGCACCGCAATGGCTATAACAAAAAAAAAAAAGTGAGCTATCAATTAGGTTTTTGGTCCCTTTTCTTTATATATAATAATAAAAAAAAACGGTGTGATGCCAGGAGTATTCTGAATATATATATATATATATAAAAGAGCCTTTCGTTTTTCTTTTTTTTTTTTTCAAATCAAAAATAAAGGTGCATGAGCCTTACCTTTTTATGCTGTAAAGTGAAACGTGGGCTAGCTGTACTCTAAAAGAAAAAGTGTGGCTTATCTTGTCAAGATTATAAAAATTGATAAGAAAGAGTTTTACGTTTTCCAATACTTGGAGAAATGAAACTTTAATTATCAATATTTTGAGTTGTAAAAAAAAAAAATACAAAAAAATACAAAAAAATAAAATTTTTGCTTGTCAATTTTTTCTGTAAATTGAAGTGCGTCATCAGCTTTATCCATAGGCTCTGTCGTGACAAAACGACAGCCGCCACACCCATTTCAACTTCGTCTCTCATCCTACTCTCTCTAGATCGAGAGGCCATATTTCTTCCTCAGCAACCCAGCACTGCTGCCATTTGCACGGACCTCCATCGCAGCTTCTAGCCCCGCTGCCAAAGATCCAGCCACTATCACGGTAGGTCAGCACCGGCACCAGCTCGTCACGGTCGCTGCCTCCTCGCGTTGCTGACATCTTGTCGCTGCTCTAACTACTGCAAACGCCGACTACGACCTACCACAAATGCCAACTGCCATTGCAATGCCATCCACATAGCTCAGCTCCGACTATCGCGAACATCACAGCCCAAGCCAGCACCGACGCCGCTGCTACTGCCGGCTTCGACTGCCCAGCTTCATCGCCAATTCACAGTCAGCCTTTCTGCAACATCACTGCTCCTCTACTGTCCAGCGTTCTTCCTCATCTTCGCTTTTAGTAGGCATTTCGAATATATATATATATATATATATATATGGCTCATGATGTATATATATATTATATATTTTTTTTAGACTCCTCTTGAATGGGACCAACACAGTTTTTCTTCTTTGTGAACAAAGTAGAGCTGCTGCCGTTTGCACTGAACTTCCTCGTGGCTTCAAGCGACGCCGCCAATCTGCCCCAACGCCGTGACACAGCCACTGTTTTGTTTCAGCGTCACGACTGCCGCAGTCGTGTAATCCAGGCTGTTGCTCGCCCTTGGTGCTTCACTTCAGCTTAGTGAGCTTAGAGGTTCAAGCACGCCGAACCTTGGTTTCGCTCCCACAATCGCTGAAATCCGCCTCTATTTGCATATCGATTGTTGTCTCAACCCTCCGAGTGCCGCTGTCAACCTCTCTCTGTAATGGTATTTAGCACCTTGAGAGTGAAAGTGGGAGATCAATGGGAGAGCCTTGCCATTATTCTATTCTCTAGCCATTTTGCCTTCTTCTTCACCCAATCTCTTATCTCCATCATCTCCTTTGTTGTTGTGTTCCTAAGTTGAGATTATTGAAGAATCTAAGCCTCTCATCATATTCTAGAGAATTTGAAGTTGTTCTTCAAGGATCTTTGAAGATCTTCGAATTTTCCAACTCCTTTCTTGAACCCTCTCCTACAAAAAGTAAATGTATAAACTAAAATTAAATGTCATTATATTAAATAACTTACAAATCATAGCTTCATTTTAAAATCATGTTAAGTATAAAATTAAAAATAAAAAAGAAGTCTAGTAAAACAAATTTTATCTCTATAATAGAAGAAAATATTGTTTCGACTAAGGTACGATACGGCTTGAGTATATATTAGGTATGTCTGGGTACGTCAAAAATTAAAAAAAAAATTGAGTACGTGTTTCATGTACTCATACGCGGGTAACAGTATGGGTATGGCATGTTTGTCAAAATAGTCATACAGCGTGGGTTGAAACCCTATATAATAACAGCAAATG